TTTAAGTTTTTGGGTTTGAAAAAATTGTTAGGGTTTTATTTTCTCAATTGGTAAAAATCAATGATTTTTAGTAGAAAATACTTATGAATTTTGAGTAAAAAGTTTCTCGTTGCTTTCTAATGTGTTCAGTGTTCACCAGAGGAGGAGCATTTAATAACTATTTATTTACTGTTAGCGAGGATTTACCAGGGAGAACTACCAGGAATTTACTTTCCCAAGTGTTTTCGAACTTTTTTGATGAAATTTCATAACGAGAGCGTAAGCGAGGGACGAAATTACATAAAAAGTCGAGAAAACACGAGGAAAAGTCAATTTCCGGTGAAGTGTAGTTCTCCCGAAGGAAATTTTCGCTTTAAGTAAATATGTAGTTTTATCCAATTCTTTAAGCAAAATTATCAACCGATTAAACTTTTCGATATTTTCACCCTGTAGTTCATAACCATTTTTCTAATAACTTATGTTACCCTCTGTTCCAACCCTTACGCTGAGTATCCTCCCTTTTCTTTATACTCCCTCACCTCCTCCTTACCTTTTACCTGATTTATTATCATTCTTATGTTTAAAATGTACAATGTACATTGTTTTTATCTGCAATTCTCATTCGTTTATAGTGGGCCAACCAATTAAAACAACCTACTCTGGTTAGGCGGGTCCAAACTACATAGTAAATTGTGATTTTTTATTTGTATTATCTCGTGCTTTGTAGTTGAATAAAAATATGAAAAATATGAAATATGATATTAATTAATAATTATATTCAATTATGTTGTTGATAATATTAATGCCAATCATTCCTTTCTGTCTCTTGGGCGAAAACAAATATATTTACACTCCTATCAGTTTTGTACATGACCTAGATTTGAACTATTTTCAACAAAAAATATGTATTTTGTATTATTTCAGGGTTAGGGCAGGTTAGGACAATTTCTGGGCCGAGCGCTGCGGCTAGGGCAGGCTTTTAATTTTAAAACATTTCATCAAAATTAGTATAAATTTAGGTTTAGCTTAGTTTAATACTCTTTCTGGGCCGAGCAATGTGGATAGAGCAGGCTAGGGGCCAATTTACCAATTTTCATAATTTAGATGGTTAATGTTCCAAGGGGAAGAGGGTGAGGGTGGGGTTACTCAAAAATAAAAACTTTAAAAATTACAATATAAACCAGAAAAGAGTCATAAAGCTTATGATTGTATAGGACAGGGAAAAAGATTAAATAGATTTATTAAGTTTGTAAGTTTCTAACCTTGATTATATATAATTATAGCAGGATATATTAAAGGTTTGTAAATGATAAAATGATAGATGGGGTTTTACTGTCTGTATCTGTCTCCAGGGACGTATATTTTCTCGTAAAATTATTCCCCCACTTTTGAATATCTTTTTTGTTTCCAGAAGTTATATAGTATATTTTTTAGGTTTTTTTTCGTTGTATTGGGAAAAATTTATGATTTTTATGGAACATAAATACATTTTTAGGTAAAAATTATCATACTGGATTATAAAACTTGTTTTTTGGTGTTCATTTTTGGTTTTTCATTCTCCCTCCCTTTCTTAAATTCATAATAATATTCACTCCAGACTGTCTCGGGTGTTACTGAAATAATACAAAATTCAAGAAGCTTTGCTCCCCCCCCCCCCCGGCCCTCCTCCTCCAAATTCTGAATTCGAGGTGCCTTTAGGAAATTATAAATGACTAGCTGAAGTGTCCGGCGTTGCCCGTGTAATAAAACTTTTTTTTTTAATTTTGAAGAAAAAATTTGAATTTTTAAAAAGAGATGTTGAAGAAAAACTATTTTAAAATTTTTTTTTAGTCTATGTTACCCCCAGGTACCCATGTGTTTTTCCCCAAAATTCGTTGGGGGGTCAATTATGATGGCTTATATATTTGGCCATTTTGGCGTTATTTGAGCTACAAATAGACGAACGTACAAGACAAACTTTATTGTTAACTTTATCATTTGTTTCTCAATGTTTTTGGACAAAAATATTTTTGGCATTATCATGAAGTTCTTGCCACGATAAAAACTGTTATTATCTCAAAATAAAAATAGTGAAGTATGTAAAAGTAAAAAAACGAAACAAGAATTCTCATATATAAGATAAGATAAGATAAAGTTTATACCAGTTTATTTACAAATATTTCGAAACATAATATACTCATTTTTATATCATAAAGTATAAACATTTCTGAACAAAAATATGAATATTACGATATTTTTTTTCTCAAAATATATAAGCGTATATTGTTTAATAATAAGGTACAATACTTTGTACATTCGGAGTACATAGGTTAAAACAAAATTACAATACGATACAACATGCTCCAAGTATCGTTAATTCTGCCTGTTCAATTCTACTCCATCTTCCTGTTTTGAAGAAGCAGCGCTGCTCTCTTATTCATTCTAACTCCGCGGATACTATTCCTAGTCCTCTCTGTTTTGCGTTACTCAGTGACCTTCTTCTTATCTCCCCAAGTCGGTAGTTTGCCAATTTTTTTCCTGCTGTTACCTCCACGTATAAGATGAACCTCAACTTTGGTTCCAGTACTCCCGGAGATAAGGCTCCGTTTAAGTTTTCCGCTGACCTTCTTCTTATCTCCCCAAGTCGGTAGTTTGCCAAGATGAGGTTTATATCCAAGTGGTTTAGCAAGACTGGCCTTCAGATCAAATGCCTTACGGGCCGAGGACTGAGTCTCTGTGACACTCTTGTTGGTGATATTGTGAAGAGGTTTGGATACAGGGGTCTGAGGTTGTTCAGCAGGAGTTTTAATAGGTTTCAGTTCAGTTACTTTGGACGTAACTTTAGGTTTGGTAGCAGTCTTAACACCGACCTGGGCCCGCTCCGGTTTTTTCCTGGACACAACAGCAGTAGCTGCGGGCCCAGGTCGGTGTTAAGACTGCTACCAAACCTAAAGTTCAAAGTATAGAAGAAATTATTTTTTTAAAAGTAGATTATGAACTTAAAAAGATGAGACTGAAAAAATTTAACCTTGGTACAAACAATATTTTACCATTAAAAAGAAATGGATTAAATAAAACATATTACAAAAAATTAAGAACAAAATAAGATGAACGTTTATATTTAGCGCTGAAATACAAATTGCGCTGAAATACCAATAGCGCTGAAATACCAATAGCGCTGAAATACCAATAGCGCTGAAATACCAATAGCGCTGAAAGCAGAAAAGATACGAGCAGGGATTTATAGATTCCAAGATACAGGGCCTCAGTTCTCGATTTTTATTATTTCAATGATTTCATCAATAATTAAGTTTTAATCAAATATATGTTTGTTAAGTTGATTGAAATGTTGGTTATGTTTACATAATGATATTTTATATTCAGAAAGCAAATAAATACTTGACTGAGGTTTTCGTAAAAAAAATGTCGAAATTTTTTGATTTTTTTTGGGGGTTTTTTCACTTTAGAACACATCCAGCAAAAAACGCGCTAAATTTTCATAAAGAATTGTAATCGGTTCAATTCTACCTAAAGGGACGGGAGACGTAATTTTAGTGACACGACTTATTCACAACAGTACCCTTTAAAGCACTGTCTGGTCAATAATTAATGAGATATTCATGATGTCTCTTATTCACAACAGTACCCTTTAAAGCACTGTCTGGTCAATAATTAATGAGATATTCATGATGTCTCTTAAAAATATTGATAATTCTTTCCTTCAATTTGATGGAATTTATCAACAGGGCGAAAAGGTAACTTTTCACCCTGCTATTCAAATTTCAAATTTCCTACCTAATTTGTCTCATTGTAGGGTGATAAAGTTACTTAATCACCCTACAGCAGAGTGAATAAGTAACTTTATCGACCTGCTTTTAAATAATTTGAGTAAAATAGAATAAAACTATATATATTATTGAAATGGGTATCATGCGTGCGAAATAAAAATGCCGGGTATTTTTCGCACTTAATAATACCCGACATAAATAGATATAATTGTGGCTTGCGGATTTTTTACTTCAGAAAATGTGAGATAAATTGTAACGGAGTACAAAGTGCGTATTTTTAACAAAGAATGTCAGATCATGGTTGGAATCAATTATTTCTGTATATGGGAACTCTGCTGGGTGTTTACATAAACTAAAACTCCTTTTTTGTAAAATTCACAAACGATTGTAACATATCCTTTAAGCATTGATATTTGTGCTTTTATGAATAGTTAAAATGTATTTATATGTTTGTATTTTTTGTGAACATCCTGTGAGCACTGTGTATTTTTAAGTATAGACTCAAGGTTAAGGTTACGCCTTAAACCTAACGTTGAAATCTTGGAAAGATGATATTATCAGTTGTAGCTAATCTTCCAGCAGCTCCGGAGTTCTAAACCAACTCTGTACCATCAAAAGGGGATTTTATAGATATTCTAAAATCAGAATAGAGTTATCATTTTCGGACCAAGTCCTGGATCAGAAAGTTCATCTACGCCTGCAGTTTCAAGCAGCTCCCTACAGAAGCAGCCTTCTACGTTTCTGCTTCAGACAGCTCTAACGGTTCATCTATACCGGCTGCAATCAGCTCCCTACAGAAGCAGCCTTCTACGGTTCTGCTCCAGACTGCTCCTTGATGTTCTGAAGATTCGTCAATATCAGCAGTTTAGAAGCTCCCTAAATCCTCCCACAGAAACTAACTACACAGTAATAACGCTCCCATATATTCCATAACAAGTTTTTACCATGAAATAAACATTTTTCAACCCCCACCATGTATCATTTAGTTAGACCTAAGGTTTAACAAAATACACAGTTTTCAAGCAAGAAAAACGACGATATCTTCCTTATTATTGATTAATTAAAGCGAGCTCTTCATGGTATCATTGTGAATTGACCCTCTTTGAATGGATTAAAACTTAACATTGCAAAAGCATTTCCTGTTAAAACTTTTTGCATTTTTGCACAAATAATAAATAATCTGCAATAATAAACTGCAAGAATGAAAAATTATGTAAACCTTTTTTTTTACAAATAATCTTTTTTTTCAGAAAAGAAAAATGTAGAGCGCCGAGGGAAAATATGAAAAAAGAAAATGTAAAATCAATTAGATAGAAAAATGAGCAGAAACTATCTAAATATTTCCAGTATTGCTTTCAAAGTACATTCAGGTATAAACACAACAGATGAGACGGGAAGGACGACAGTATTATTATTTTACTTATTATTTTGCGCATCGTCTACTCTCATTTTTGATTTTCTGATCCTGATATCTTTGCAACCTGATGTAGTAGACCTTTGAATTTTCAAATTATGATTTCTAAGATATTAAAGTTTTACACCATAAAGTTGCAAAGATATAGGGATATAAGGTTGAATATAAAAGATAAAATAAACCCTTTAAAACAAATAAATCATGGATTAAAGAAGTTTTTGTTCTTTTTTTTGGGGGGGGGGGGTAACAAGTAAAAAGATAATTATTTATATTTATCGTTATCATTATTTTATCTATTTTTGTTTCTTTTTAAATTTAACCATTTTTCAATTCAGTTTTTCCTTTTAATATTTCTTTCTTTGCCTTTCTTTTTAATATTTTTTGTAGGCTTTCATATATTATGATCTTTATTAAAATTTAAATTTTCTATTTTATTGAAAAAAATCTTTAAATCTTATTAATTTGTTAAATTATCTTAGTTTGTGATATCTCGAGGTCTGGGCAAATATGAATATTTTAAGAAGAATGAAATTAACAAATTTTCTTTTGCTGGGAGCTGTGCTATGTAAGTATATTTATCAAATGCAGGGTTTTCCACGAAACATGACAGTGACAAGACAATTTGAAAGTCGTCATTGCATTTATTTAAGACATTTAGTAGTCAACCTTCTTTTACACAATTTTCATAGTTCTAGGATTTCCCAAATGTGGTCTGTCTTTTTTGTGCTGTCAATATTACTAAAGATATTGAGAATTTTGTTCAGATTTAAAATAAAGCTAAAATTGTCGAATATTTCTCAAATATAAAAGTACTGGACATAGCCCAAGTTTTAAAACCCCTTTGGAAAAAAATCTAAATATTTTTGCCTATTTCACTCCTGCCATACCCCTGGGTTTCCTAAAAATTGTCAGTCTTTTTTCCCGCCCATTGTTTCGTGTTTAAAAAACTCCTCGGCAGCTTGACTTCAACATTTGAAAAATTTTATATTTAAAAATTTATCAACAACTTTTTAAAAAATAATTTAATCGTATCCTACTGTTTCATGATTTCGCAATCTTCAAGATATAATTGCGGATTTTTATGAAAATAGATTTTTCTTTTAAAGTTTAAAACTGTTTAAACTTAGATAAGCCAAGCGACTAGCTTGGGAACCCAGCGTTGCCTAGGTTACTCTTAGTTACTCCCGCCGTTTACCCGCACTTGGTCGATTTTACCGGGAAACAAAATTTTCGAAATAAAACTCGACCAACTCACTTAGAATCTCAAAACAAAGCTAAGAACATTCCCCTGGCTCTCTCTAGTTCCTCCAATCAATATTTGAGGCAAATCGGTCCAGGGGCTCCTGAGTTATGATCGGAAAAACAAACAAACAGACAGACTAACAGAGATTACAACTTTATATATATACAGAAGAGCTTTATTATATAGATGGTAGAGGGAGGGGGGGGGATAGAGTAACCCGCACATAAATGAACTGAACACTTTCCCCAAATTCTTCAAACTTATATTATTCTGCTAGATTTTAAAGTCAAAGTTTGAAATATCTAAGGTTTACATCATCAGGTTGATTGATAAGATATAGGTATTCAAAAATTAGAGTTTAAGACGAGTTATCAGTTTGGTGGGTGAAATATATTTGAAAAAAGCAAGTTTAAATCTCTATGGTGGAAAATGACTGTGTCCGGATCACATTAATGGTACCCATAAAAACTTGCGCATTTCTTGCTTAAGAAACAATGGTTAGATTGTTTGAATTAAACACTTTTCAAGTCAGTAAACCAATATTATCGATATTATCGATTAGATTAAGGATTTTCTGGGTAACGTTGTGAATCAGGAATATCAATCGTAAGATGGAGGGTTACTTCAAATTACTTCTACTGTCCCTAAAGCTTGAGGAATAAAGGAAAATTGACGAAATGACCACTATATAACAGGAACAAGAAATTTAATAAGTTCTTACTGTTTATTATTCTATGATATTAAACAGTTATTATAAAAACAATTTTTCTAACAATTAACCTCCCCCCCCCTTGCTCCCNTACCCTTCCCCCACAACTCCCTCCCTGCATTGATGGATCCTTGGTATTGTAAGGAGAAGAAAATAACATTGTTGAGAAAATAAATAGTATTGTCTCAGAGCCAGAAATAATAAGACAGAGTGTATTTCTGAAACCCAGTTTCAAAAACCGGGTTTCATGAATGGTGGACGACAATTCTGTACAAGTACATAAAAAGGACTGTAAAGGAAAAATGAAAGGGGGTATAGAATGAAACCTGAGAATCTCAGGCGTTGAACGATACATATAAGACATCTATCTGATGTTTCTGTCTCGAGAAATTGATATAAAATTGTGTAAAATTTATACGAAAATTCATATATATGCAATTTTGTATAAAATTTGTAGTATTAAACACCTTATATTCAAATTTTAAATTCTTATTTTGCATTTTTAATAGAAATAATTGATAATATTATTACATATAGTCCATATAGTCCGTATTGCGTCCGTAGGCGGTTTCAGGGGGGGGGGGGGTTGGCAGTCCATTACCCCCCCTGAGTGAAATTAGGGATTTTTACAAATCTCAGCCAACAATTGCTCACCCACATCTAATTATTAATTAATTGAGTTTCTGGAAATCCCTCCACCCTTTTATCCCATTGATCATTTATTATCATCCAAACTGACAATATTCTATTTAATGTTGAATACTTCAATTCAAAACATTTAATCATGAAACTTGGCGAATTTTAAGAGATGATCGGCAACAATACGAGGATCCACGGATCCGTATCCAATAAACCAACAAAAAACAGTTTGTTTTAAAAATACAAAGCGCACAGGGTTTCTGACACTTCAACGATGACTGTACGGATTTCATCCTGTCTGTTTCCTTATATTTATGATTCCCTTCAACTTTAAACTTGCCCTGTGAGGTTTCTTTCTTTTGTAGATCAGTTAATAAGCCATTAAAACTCTATTCAAGGCAGAATACATAATTTGAACATTGGATTACGTCATATCTGAAGGATTTCAAGTCTTTCAAGTCATGTTTACAGTTTCATTCTTTGTGGGTTAACTGACAAGAAATGTTCTGGAAATGGATCAAGTTTCCGCATACGATTTTCGGATAAAATGAGGACCATATGCTGAAAAACATGATTTGTGAAAAATGTTAAACTTATAGAATATTTAAAATCCGGATGGAATCCGTATTGGAGTAGAATTCGGATCCGTATTTGGATTCAGGTCCATATTTGGATTCAGATCCGTATTTGGATTCTTTTAGGGTATAAACCGGCTGTATCAAATTTCAAGGAGCTTCACAAAAATCCGAGCATTTTTAGATATTCCCCATTCAGTTTCCCCGTATTTTTAGATATTCCCCATTCAGTTTCCCGTATTTTTATATATTCCCCATTCAGTTTTCCCGTATTTTTAGATATTCCCCATTCAATTTTCCCGTATTTTTATATATTCCCCATTCAGTTTTCCCGTATTTTTAGATATTCCCCATTCAGTTTTCCCGCATTTTTAGATATTCCCTATTCAGTTTTCCCATATTTTTAGATATTCCCCATTCAGTTTTCCCGTATTTTTAGATATTCCCCATTCAGTTTTCCCGTATTTTTAGATAATCCCCATTCAGTTTTCCCGTATATTTAGATATTCCCTATTTAGTTTTCCCGTATTTTTAGATATTTCCCATTTAGTTTTCCCTTATTATTAGATATTCCCCATTCAGTTTTCCCGTATTTTTAAACTTTGAAATTAGTTAACAGAGCCCCCCCATAAATATGAAATATGAACCTTTATAGACAAATCAGCTTATTTCCCAAAAATAACAGTGACGGAGAAAAATACACTCACCACAAACTATAATTTTATAAACATTATATCTTTGCAACCCAATGTTTCAGAACTTTAATACTTTAAACAATAAATTTTATTGCATCAAGTAGCCTGAGTTTAAAATACCAAAGTGTTGACGTACTTTATTAAGATTTATATTTATATGATCTTTAAAGATTGAACTTGAAAAAAGTAATTAATCCTGGTAGTAATTTAGGATCCGGGTTCGCCGGAAATACTCTAATCCCAAAAAATCCTGTTTAAAAAATGGTTGCTCTAAAAACACAAATTTCAACCGTTGACTAATGATTGATTATTAAAAACTTCCAAATCTGTGAACGGTTCATCAAATTTTAGCAAAAAATAAGCGACAAAAAAAAGATTTAAAAAAAATTTTCTTTGTTGAAAAAAGGTTCATGGCCTGGATCCGGACCTGTATCAAAATAAAATTTTTCCTAGAAAAAATGCTTTAAGTCGTCTATTCTTAGAAGAATAAATCCCAACTGCACGAATCAATCTGTTCTTAAAGTTGATCAATCATGCAACTGGGTAATTAGCTAGAGTATAAAGTATCATATACTACTGGACACCAGGCACATCTAATTAATCAATTAATGGGATTGTAGACATTATTTTAAATGATTAACCATTTAAAGATTCACAACTGTATCCTGACATAAAATATAATTAAATAGGTATCCATATTTTCGGAAATTAACTTTCGGGTTTCTGCTTTGGATTAAAAATAGAATATTGGCAGAATTTAACACTTTTCATGCCAGAAAAGACGACATGAAATATTGCCTACAGTCCCTTTAATTTGATTAATTTGCTCAGGTGCGGAGGGAAATGATGACCCACGAATGAAGATTCTGCCAGCTGGGGATCAGGTGATGATTAGTGATTATATTTTATCCTCGAGTTTGACATTTGGAACTTTCAGAGGAAATATTGCTTTGTTAGGAGCTCTTAAAACTTGAATAGAATCTCATAAAACTTTGATAGAATGTCTTACTACTTTAATAAATCTCTTAGATCTTTGAATAGAAAGATTCTAATTCAACTTTGAAAGAATATCTTCAAATTCTTTTATTCTCATTAAACTTCAATAGAATCCTATAAAACTTTAATAGAATCTCATAAAACTTTGATAGAACCCTTGATAGCAGCCGATGACTATGACTAAATGATTACTTTAAAACTACATTGATTTTTAATTTTTGAATATTGGAGTAGGATATATTCCTTTAATATGGGAATATTTGCAGGAGGTCCCAGTAGAAGATAGTCCATTTAATTTTGGAATATTTGTAGGAGGTCCAAGTAGGAGATAGTCCTTTAATATGGGAATATTTGTAGGAGGTCCGAGTAGAAGATAGTCCATTTAATTTTGGAATATTTACAGGAGGTCCCAGTAGAAGATAGTCCTTTAATATGGGAATATTTACAGGAGGTCCCAGTAGAAGATAGTCCTTTAATATGGGAATATTTGTAGGAGGTCCGAGTAGAAGATAGTCCATTAATATGGGAATATTTGTAGGAGGTCCCAGTAGGAGATAGTCCCTATAATTTTGGAATATTTACAGGAGGTCCGAGTAAGAGATAGTCCATTTAATTTTGGAATATTTGTAGGAGGTCCGAGTAGAAGATAGTCCTTTAATATGGGAATATTTGTAGGAGGTCCGAGTAGAAGATAGTCCATTTAATTTTGGAATATTTGTAGGAGGTCCCAGTAGATGACAGTCCATTTAATTTTAGAATATTTGCAAGAGGTCCCAGTAGAAGATAGTCCCTATAATTTTGGAATATTTGCAGGAGGTCCCAGTAGAAGATAGTCCCTATAATTTTGGAATATTTGCAGGAGGTCCCAGTAAGAGATAGTCCCTATAATTTTGGAATATTTACAGGAGGTCCGAGTAGGGAAAAATATAGTGCTAACCTGCAGAGCAGTTGTTCCAAGCTTAGAACTCATCAGAGATCTTAGGAAACCCATTCATGAGATTTAGAATTGGTAAAAAACGCATTTAACCCAAAAACTGGAATTTAACAACACACCTCAGTCTTCTACTGACCAGAGATGTCCCTGAGTTTCAGAATGATCAGTTTTGTTCTAAAAATCATCAGGGTTTTACCCAGAAAAAATTGGCATTATCTTTATTCTTAAAACAACAATTTTTTCCCAAATGTTAGAATTGATCCTATGTATTATGGGTGCATATTTTCAATTATTTTCAAAGAGAGGGCCGGGGGGGGGGGGAAGATTGTTTTTTAAAGAAAATACACTACTGCTTTGAATTGCTGGTTTTTAATGTCAAAATTTACCGAAAACTGTTCAAGTACTTTGGTAGAATTTAGCTTGACAACTTTCATTACAAAAAGGTTTGGCTGAAGCTCTTAAAGAATTAAAAAAAAACATCTAGAGTCAGCTATCACTTTGATAGAATGCCTTAAAACTTTGATAGAGAATTGGTTGATTAGATGGTACAGTCCACAGGGATATCCAGTTCAACAGGGAGACAGGTATTCATCCTTTCAACATTTCATCCTTTAATCCTTTCATACTTTCATCTATCATCCTTTCATCCTTTTATCCTTTCACTTTTTCATTCTTTCATATCTTCATCCTTCATTCTTTCATTCTTAAATTCTTTCATATTTTCACTTCACTTTCTTTTCACTTACATTCATTTTTAATCTTGCCTTGTTCTTGCATTCTTTACTTTCAAATTCAATTTTTTCAATAATTTAATAATAAAACTATTTTTTTATTTATTAATATTGACTTTGAATTTTAAGACTTAAATTATCAAATTTTACTCTTTGTAAATAGGATTCTAAAAAAACTTAATTCATTTTAACGTTTTGAAAATTTACAAATTTATATTTTTCATTCTTTGATGAAAATTTATAATTTTTTTACTTTGAAACTTATTGTTTTTTTTCTTGTGCTTCTATGCTACCAAATATCAAGAATGAAAATTTATAATATTGATTTGTAAATAAGAAAACAAATCTGAATATATCTTAATTCTAGTAAACGTACACAATAGACATCACGTTTATTTTGATACAAATTTTTTCTTCACTTTTATGCTTTTTTGCAATTTTTTTCTACATCTATAGTTTTTGCACTTTTTCCAGCCTTTCAGATTATAGCACCAGGTAAAGGGTTGTAGTTAATGGTAAAGGGGTATATGTTTTCTTAAAAAATTACCTATCCTCAAAATAAATTTTTTTCACATTGTCAGAAAAAAGTCAGCTTTAAGCAGAATAATTTTTTTAACTTAAAATTTAGAAAATGTTGATTAAAAAACTAAACAAGGGTTAAAAACCTACAAATTAATGTCCAAATCTTCAAAAATAATTTATCGAAAATCAGAATATATACCCCTGGTTTGATCAAAGTTCTGAAACTGAGATTTGTTTTTTTCAAACCCTTTCATTTTTTTACAACAAGAGTTTTATTATTTATTTATTTGTCCTGAATACAAGAGATGTAAATTTTATGTTCAGAATTTTAAACACAGATCCTTGCAAATATTTTGCATCTGATTTTGCAATGCAAAAAGTGTGAATTTATGTTGCATTTTACTTATAAGGGAATAATATTACATTCCACATAACACAAAACAAAATTTAAAATTCAGTGATGGTGATGGACCAAACCTCTGTAGAGTAAAAAACAAAATTGTGCTATTCTGGTGTGCAGCAAATTTCATTGCATTCAAAGTTTCTAAGTGATTTAAAAACCATTTTTACTTCTCTTTTTACAGTTTTAAGATTGGTTTAATTAATTCGCGGATTTTTCTTTGTGCTAGAAATTGTAACTTTTTACTGTAAACTGTAACTGTTTAATGTAAACTGTAACTGTTTAATGTAAACTGTAATTGTTTACTGTAAACTCTAATTGTTTAATGTAAACTGTAACTGTTTACTGTAAACTGTAACTGTTTACTGTAAACTGTAACTGTTTACTGTAAACTGTAACTGTTTACTGTAAACTGTAACTGTTTACTGTAAACTGTAACTGTTTACTGTAAACTGTAACTGTTTACTGTAAACTGTAACTGTTTACTGTAAACTGTAACTGTTTACTGTAAACTGTAACTGTTTACTGTAAACTGTAACTGTTTACTGTAAACTGTAACTGTTTACTGTAAACTGTAACTGTTTATTGTTTAATGTAACTGTTTACTGTGAACTGTAACTGTTTACTGTGAACCGTTACTGTTTACTGTAAACTGTAACTGTTTACCGTAAACTGTAACTGTTTACTGTGAACTGTAATTGTTTACTGTAAATTGTAATTGTTTACTGTAAAATGTAATTGTTTACTGTAAACTGTAATTGTTTACTGTAAACTGTAATTTTTTACTGTAAACTGTAATTTTTTACTGTAAACTGTAACTTTTTACTCAAAACTGAAACTGTTTACTCTAAATTGTAACTGTTTACTGTAAACTGTAACTGTTTACTGTAAACTGTAACTTTTTACTATAACTATAACTGTAACTGTAACTGTAACTGTAACTTTTACTGTTTACTGTAAAGTGCTTGTCTGCATGTCTGCATGCCTGTATGTAATTTGTTAATGAATAGCTCAATATTCTACCAAACTTAATAGCGTTATTCAAACTCCTAGTTGTACATTTATTTATATTGAAGAGTTTTAAAGTGTTTGAGAAATTCATTGAGTCATATTTGTGAAAAAGTGAAAAATAAATTATTGTAAAATTTACAAAAAAAACTTATTTTTAAATTAAGATTTAAATTTGAAATAGTATCTTGATTACAATTTTAATTTATAATTTTTTGGATGATTTTCAAAATATTGTTTAAAATTTTTGTGGGTCCTCAAACTCTGAGTAAATTTTTGAAAAGGAACTGAGTTTATGTCACAAACTCTACTTTTCTAATCTCTATATCTTTGCTACCCAATGTCGTAGACCTTTGATATTTCAAGCTATGAATTCTGTTAGACCAAATAATCTAAGTTTGAAATCAAATATCAAAGGTTTACATAATCAGATTGTAAAGATACAGGGATTAGACAATTTGCGTTTGTAACGCAAAATGGTATGCGCTAAAAATACGCTAGAAGACCAAACTAATTGAACAAACGTTTTTTGTTTTTGCCAAGCTCTTTAGAGGGACTGAAAGCGTAATTTGAAGTGACCCTCCATGCAAAGATAGCAATACACGATTTACAACTATACCCTTCAAAGCTTTGTCTGATCAAGTATAAATTAGATATCAATGAAGTTAGAAAATTGTTCCCTAAAAAAATAAGGGACTTGCGCATTTCTACTGTAGGAAACATGTAAGAGTTATGCTAATTAAACATTTTTCTAGCCAGAAAAACGACAATATCTTTATACGACAATATCTTCTATAAGATTGATCAGATAAAGGTTTCAAGTGAATCGGGCATTGTCATCTCTGCAATTAAAAGTACAAATTATGCAAAATACATTAAAAACTACGTGTTTGAATGCACAATATTGAATTTTTAAAAACGTTTGACCCAAAAACTTGTACTGTATCTTGTCATACAGTCGTTGTCATATATATCAATACAATGAAGACGACTTTCGATCTTAAAATTTTTAATTTCTACCAAGCTTTTTAAACAAGCATGGAATGTGGATACACATAAACATGGAAACCAAGAGAGACTGACTTGCTGACTTGTAAACTTGTAATTTTAAAAAAGCTTGTTAACAATAGAAACTTAAAAAGAAAAGTCGTCTTCATTGGATTGATAAAAACGCTGACCACAGTAAGTAACTCAATGGTGTTTTTATTAGTACTAACATTGGATAAATTAATAGATTTATTATTTATTTAATTAATTAGTTTATTATATGTTTAATTAATTAATTTTAGAATCTACAGTGAAGAGCAGCCTGGAGAGGCAGCAACAGCTTTATTTATTAAACAAGTTTCTAATGAGGACGCAGGTAATTAAATAATTAAGTAAAAATTTATCTAAATATATATATCGCAGATTTTTATTTAAAAATTTTGAATTCTGTGCAAATCTCCAAATTGTTGTTATAGAGAAACCTCAAAAAATTATCCATTTTTTAATGTTTCCATAGATATTTTTTATCATTTGTGCTTTGTTGAAGTTTATTTATTTGTTTCCAGGACAGTACACTTGCAAGGCGGTTTATGCATCAAATCAGCATTTACAAGCTACCGTTCAAATCTCATTGTTCGGTAAGTTTTAAAAAATTCAATTTCCACTCAACCTTCATGTACAGGGTGTCCCAATAAACTTTGGAATTGAGTTACGGTTTTGAGATCGTCTTTGTATATGATTTTCGATATTTTGTAGAATACTTCCGCTTTCGTTTCTAGAGTTTAGAATTTATTTATTAATGTTTTGATTCTGAAAAGCAAATCTAAATAGTTAAACCATACTCATGCTAAAGGTCTTCTATGGCACCTGTTTTTTGGCAAACACTGTCAATCATAAAATGCGATATCTATCCTCTGTAGATCCTTCTATCTGTCTATCTTTCTAGTTGGTATCACGTGGGAGGATGCTCCTATAGCTCAGTATGCAAGATTAGGACAAAATTATAAAATAATCATTATTTTATTCAGGTACGGGCGCGACCTCCCGCAAATATTGATTGGTTGAAAGAATCCTTGATATTATCAACAGGTCTTATTTTACGTGCTAAAAAGGACAAAAAACTATCAAAATATTATTTTTGAACAATGTGGTAGATTTGTTTTGTTTGATTTTTCTTGAATAATCGCCCATCTAAAAAAGACTTATTTTAAAAGTTTTTTCAAAAAACCTATAGGGGAAAATATTACAAGCAAACCTAACTTTTGACACCCATATTGATGCACCCAAAATATTGAATTGAAAACCTATAGGGGAAAATATTACTTGCAAACCTAACTGTTGACACCCATATTGATGCACTCAAAATATTGAATTGAAAAAATGGAGTTATTTCAGAATATATTTATCCCCCTGTGTTTCCTGATAATTCTTCTGTTTGAAAATATGCAAACCTTTGAAAGCGAAATTTCTGAAAATACATTTCCCTTAGAAAGACTATTTTTTTATAAATATATTATGTTGCGAAGTAATGTAGTAACAAATGGGAAAGTTCACGGGAATGAAGCCTTGATATTTCTTGAAAAAAAACTTAAGTCTGAGATTTTGAAAGCAAAAAAATGCTGACTTTTTAAAAACCAAATATACTGAAGACTTGTCTGGAAATTTGATTTTCCAATCCCATTGTCGTTTTAGCCTTTGCTATTTTAAACTTTGAAGATTAAATCTATAAATTCACAGTTTGAAATATCACATTACGTTAAACAGATATAAGTTATTATAAGATTATATTGAGTTTGATGAAAGTTTCTTTTCTTGGTTTATTTTACAAAGACAGAATTGCTTTTCAAAATTGTTGTTAATTTTGAAATTTCTAAACTTTGAAATTGAATTTTTAAGTTTCCGCTTTAAAAGGGATTGTAAGTTTCTTTTTTTAACTTTAAAAATAAAATCTACCAAATCCGGAGCAAAGGTTGCATGCTTTTGAACCAATCAGCGACTTTCAATCCTTTTTAGGCCTAATGCATTGTTTGAAATAAAAAAGCATTTCTTGAAAAGGGGGGAAGTGGTGCTTTGAAAAAAGGAGAGGAGGTCGATTTGTAAATCCGCCAATAAAATCAGGAAAGTCTGCAAAGTTTTTTTTTTAAATTCAAAATTTCAGATCATTGACAAGGCTAAAAAGCTTATTACCAGAAAAATGGACAGTAAGTGCTAAAGATCTGTATTCCAATTCCAGTAAACCGAATCTAAATCATAAGAATTGTTACAGAGTTTTCTAAATCGTCCAGTTTTCCTTTTTTTTGAAGCACCGTTACACTCCCTTTCTTCTAGTAATTTAGTTGTTAGGATAGTTTTAATAGTAATAGTACGTGCATTACTTAATAACGCAAAAGCTATTAAACAGTTTTATAATTTATTTTTACGAGTTAAAGGATGCTCCTA